ATCAAGAAAACTTAGAGGAAATAGTCCTCAACAGCTGGAGGCAACAAAATGAACAGCGTGTCAGAGTTCAGCTGTCTGATGCTGCAGTTCAATCCTGACTAGTGTTGAAAGTGATACCGAAGTCTTGCTATCACGACTTTCACCAGGCTGCGCATTTAGACACAAAACCGACGTGCTCTCAGATTAACATAAAGGAGCTCATGTCTGAGAGAGGCTTTAGACAATGTGTACCTTACTGCACAGGATCTCTGAACTTTCTATGGATTACAGATTTGCTGCTGATGATGATGATGACATAATTTTTTTTGGAGATTACCTAAATCCTGTCTGGGAATATTGGAGCTTTTAAAATGATGAGAAAATTATGTTATGTTGCGATCGTGCTCCAAAGGCCAGTAGTGTCATGTTTCATCAGATTGCGCGGCCTTGCTTGAACTGTGTTCTGTTCGATAGTTTGTTCACACCACGTACGTCAGTGAGAACAGATGAAAAGTTCCTCCATTTGACACGAGGCAGTACGCAATGTTCAACAGGAAGCAAAACTAAAGCTTTTATAATGGTAACAACTTTAAATTAACATCTTTTATGATTATTCTAACCTTCACAAAGACCAAACAAACAATGGCATGTTGTGATATTGGCATAATTCAGCAATATATGTTTGTACTGGAAACCAATCCTGTAGAATAATTTAAAGTACAGTCAGAAATGTGCTTTTCTAATTTTTTTTAAAGTTATTTTTTTGGCCTTTGTGCCTTTATTGATAGTGCAGTGAGAGAGAGACAGGAAAGTAGGGAAAAGAATGGGAGAAGGGCCTATAGGGAAAGGGTCATGAGCGGGATTCGAACTCATGACTTCCACATCAGAACTGTAGCCCTGCACTTGAGACGCCAGCTCAAATAGGTGAGCTATAGCGGCGCCCCAGAAATGTGCATTTTTTAAAATTTATTTTTATTTTAGTAGAAAAATCGGATGTGCAAGTGTCATCTATAAAAACAGTGACAGCTCATTGTTGTTTTTGGTGTAATAAGACCTATAAAAACAATAGTGTGACTGATGTTGCAATCTGGATATTACACATTTTTGAACATATATAACAACCTTTTTATGCACCAAGTACTTTATGCACCTGATTTGTTTCAGATGGCTTATAATGACCTTGGTTTTAAACCCAGGACCTGAGAAAAAAAATCCAATTTTCCAAGAGTGAAAATGCGACGTGATGGCACAGCCTTCATTAAAACGCGTCCCAAAAAATTTGCAACAGACCTGAAAACATAATGGAGGTCGTAAATGACACACAGCGTGAATTGTTGATATGCAATCATTGCAATCAAACGGTAAAGAGCTGCACAGTGAGCTGCTCCGGTGGCTCAGCGGTTCAAACTCCAGCAATGCACGACGAGAGTTGAGCTAGAAACCCTGATGCTTCTCTTTCTACCTTTGTTTTCCAAAATGTTTCTACTGTCTCACATAAAATGGTGTAGAATAAATCAGCAGTATCGTGCTGTTTTGGACAGGTAGCATCATCAGTGTGTGTGTGTGTGTGTGTGTGTGTGTGTGGTGGTTTGCAGCAACACTTAAGTGCAGTTCTAGTGAGTGGTGGTTTTCCTCAGCAGATCCGGTTGCCCTCAGCGCGTCGTGTACAGCATGTGTGTGTGTGTGTGGTGGTTTACAGCAGTTGTTTCGGTAGCCCGGTGTGTGTGTGCTCCTCAGGTGGGCTGGCAGCTGAAGAACCTGGTGAACGCTCTGAGAGAGGACCCGTGCGGAGTCATCCTCACGCTGAAGAAAAGGCCCCAGAACACCCTGAGCTCCACGCCGGCCCTGCTCAGGAACGTCCGCTGGAAACCGCTGGGCCTGCAGGTAAACGACCAGCACCACACATCCACCGCTCACACACTGACCTGGCAAGAGCTCAGCTGCGAGTGGAATTTGAACGAGGATGCGAGAAATTAATAGGTAAACCTCAGGCATGACTTCTCCTCGGCGCATATTTATCACTTCATGTACTCACAGTTCTAAACTGGAGGTAGAACCATTTCAGCGCTACATGCAGTCAACTGTCCGGCACCTCTTCTTTGACTCACTCTCCTTTTTTCTGCCCACACTCTGTATTCTCCTGCTGGCATTTAAACATTATTTTCAAAGGAAACTTATCCACTGATTGACCTTGCATCAATGCTCTCGTCGAGTGTTCAACAAATCTCTTATTTTCACCGCCTGCCATACCGCCGGCACAGTTCAAAGTCATTCACAAATGCGCTGGTAGCTAAACCTTCACCAAAAAAGCGGATTTTCTTTTCAACGGCAATAGCGGAGAAAAAAAATTGTGAAGGAGAGAAAGTAGCTAATTAAATCCGCACTGCACTTCAGCAGCGTGTGAATGATTTAAATGTATGGAGCAGCGGAAAGGTCACCGAGGGGTCGAGCCGTTCTCCTGCACGCATTCATACGTACTGAGGCTGAGGTCCTCAGTCGTTCAACCTCTGCCCCCCAAAGAACAGCTCCTTTTTCAAAAGAGAGTAACTTTTTAATGTGCTGTAGATCTAAAAGGTGGAATGCTTTTTTTTTTTTTCTTTCTGAAGGCTTACAGCTCACAGTGGGTGTACGCATTTCACTTAAGGGCAACTACTTTGTAGATCCGTCACTCACAGCCCAGAAATATCATTCAACAATTTTGGATTGCACAGAAAGAACAAGTTGTGCCGAGACGGACGGAGAGGGGTGAGGAGGAGGCTACTGTGATTCTGCCTGAGTGCTTTTGCGAAGCGGCGACTGTCTTGTCAGGCTCCCGTGTTGCGCGGCTGCTATTTTTAACATTACGTCGGGCTAATTCATTTACATGCTACATGCGTGCTTTGATCTCAGTTCACTGCTCAGCTGCTCTGTGGCTTTTTCTCCTCATTTCTTTTATTTTTTTCCCCCTTTCTTTCATTCTCTCTTCCAGCAGGCCTTCCCCTCGCTTCATTTCAAGCAATTATTTTTTTATGGTTCTGTTGTTTCTTCACATATGCGAGCCTACAAATGGAATATTTAGCATGTGAGAGAAGGTTAGAGACTTAAAGATCCATAGTGTTTGGTTTCTATAGCGGCTACTATAAGTTCAGCTTCATCACCGTCTTTAACAAGCAAAAAGACTCGTTTCCAGCTTGCTGCCTCGTTACGGTTGCTACCAGGAGCTTATTGTTATATTTGCTGTGCGCCACGGCAGAGGATTGTGGGAATTCTACCCCTGATGGACCGCTAAGACACAAAACGCGCCGTGAGCACCCAGATCAGAGCGCAGAGATGTCTGTGGGAGAGCAGAAGAAAGGAGTGTTTTAGTTTTGTTCTCTCTCAGAAAGACTGGAGCTCTTAATTATTCATAAGCAACTACAGGCAGCTCCACTGGCTCTGAAACAAGAGCCGCTACTCAGCAAATACTGGAGATAATTCACTGAATCCAAAATATCTTGCTAAACAGCCTGTTTGTGTGTCTTTTGTGAGTGTGAGTGTGTGCGTGTCGGGGGAAGGCGGGTGTGCGCACGTTGCCGAGCGCGGCCCCATGCACGCCGGTCCATCTGTGTGTCGAAGCAAGCATGTTTGTGCACACATGCAGAGAGATGTTTCTTGTTATCAGTCCCGTTGCTCCTTTGAGGGGCGAAGGAACTGGGTCACTGCACTCTGTGAGCTTGGTCTTGGATGCGTACTGTACGTGCACACTGGCAAGAACAAGCAGCACATAGGGAACACATGCGCACTCGTACCTCTAAGCCCGGTTTTGGAGGATGAATTCGTACGGCTGTGAAGTTTAGCTCAAATGTGGCAAACGTTCAGCTGGATTATAACCGAATCCACAAAGGAAACAATTTATCTCCGTAAATTATCATGTGATTCCAGGCCCAAATCCCTCCATGGCAAGCTCTTTTATTCTACCAAATAATGACACATCTCTCTCTCTCTGTCTCTCAGCCTCTCTCCCTCTGTGTGTGTCTGTTTTGTCTACAGTAGGATGGCGTAAAAGCAATTTGATGATCCACTGTAATTACAAAAAAATGGTGGCGATGATTTTAACAAGGAAGGCGAGGATTATTGTGATGATGCATATTTCATGCTACGTGTCGACTGCTGCTGCTGCTGCTGCTGCTGCAAAAGTTCATGCGTTACTGTAAGCCTCATCAGCATTCACATCACAGGTCACCGCCCCGGTCACACGTGCCACGCACAGTCCGAGACACGGCTTTCATAAATCTCTTATATGTTTATACGTATCAGGTAAATGCAGGCTATTTCGGGCCACATCTATTGTAATGTATTATTGATAAGCCAGCTGAGTGAGCGAGGAGTTGCTCCTTTTTCACAATGACGGGACCTTCTTTTGGTGTCAGATGGGTTGTGTTTAGATGTCACAATTTCATATATTATTAGAGATGTAATGTTTATACCAGATAGCAAGTCTGTATATCACCATACGGGGCAATATTATAAATATACCCCTAACAGTAAATATATGTAGTAATAGTACCTGCTGACTAAACAGTCCTACTTAAAGGTGCATTTATTATGGATGGAGTTTGATGCTTCGCTTTTAAGCCGACCTGCATGAAGTCCTGAAAGTGCTAATTCTGGTTTGACAGAAATGACGTGCTGGTTCAGATCATGAGCTGGAGAACAGCTGCTAACTAGATGGAACTGTTTTGTCAACTAGTGCCGAAATCAAGAAATAGCTCAGTAATAAAACATGAATAGTTGTTTTAAAGGCACATTCCAACATTTTGGGAGATTTTTGTTTCTTGCGGAACCAGGAGCCTTATTAGCTTAGCTTAGCGATAGAGAGTGAAAGCAGAAGGGAGCAGCCTAAGCTAAGCTAACTGGCTACTGACTGCTTATTGAATCTGTCAGTTAATTGAATCGTTACAGTCCCCTGTTGACATTAAAAATTATTCTATGCAGGATAAATCTCTGTCTATGTATGGCTTAGTGACTGCTCCGTTATTGAAGTCACTCACAAAGGGAACACAAAGGCTTTTTTTTTTTTTTTACTGTATAACATGTATTATGGAGCTACATCAAAGGAAGGTTGGATGTTTTCAGACGTCATCCCTTGAGAAAAACTCAGTGGGATTTACAGAAGGGATTAAACCTGAAAAATGTACCTGAACTGAAAAACATTCTGGATATCAGAAGTAAACTTAAACTTTGCCCTTCTTCAAATTGAAAAAAATGTCATTATTGTACCGACTGATAAACTAACTTGTCGACCTACAAACTGCAGTATTGGTCTAAACGTCTAAAGGTTTAATCCGCCTTCTTTAGAGACATTTTAGCATATGAGAGGAGTAAAAGCTCAGGTGGAAATAATGGCTGAATCCCATGTAGCTGCTTCAGTTTCAGGGTTCCTGTTGTTGTGCACTTTCACTCTTTCATGAGTCACTCCAACACTTGAACACAACCCAACCATTAGGCGGCTTTCCACTGCAGGAACAGGTGCAAGGTGGGGCAATTTTTTTACATAATCGGGTCTTCTGGGCTTTTGTGTTTCAGTTTTGGTCAAGGACCTGGCAGCTTACATTAACCCAGAGTTCAATAAAACTAAAACAGAACTCCAGTTCTATGAGCATGTAGGAAATAACAATGGAGGCTTGTTTTGTTCGCCTGTACAGTGAATTTTATATTATTGATGTTAGAGAGGAGACTGCGATTCGACGAGGACATCATGAGGGTGGAAAAAATGTCCCTTGTTGTCATCTCTGAATTTAACCAGTTGGCATTTTAACCAAGCAGTGTCGGTACTTTTTACTTCCTTGAAAGAGGTTCCACAGGGGCGGTTCTTGTGGGAAAAGTTCGCGCTACGGTGGCCGACGAGGGGAAATGACGTGCATACACACAAATGAGCTGCATATACATGAATGCGTTGCATAAACAGGAAGCGCTGCAAAAAGAAAACGCCGCATATCCAGTCACACAGCGGAAGTGCCACAGGCCTCTAGGGGCAGTAGTGAGCTTTTCACCTGAGAGGCAGACAACGGTAAGCGAGACAAGTAACGTTAGTTGAGGGAAAAGATGCATGAAAAGGTGTGTATTCTCTCGTAAAACACCACTTCAGCATCGATATAATCACAGTGACTGAAAAGCTAAAGACTTAAAAACTGCCC